ATTTGCTGAAAAAAGGTGGTTCCAAAATCTCCATCATCAGCCCAAACCCTGATGAATTATGGACCACTGTTCCCAGTGGCTATGGGCAACTCGGGTTCATACTGTGTAACACGCCCCCCCCCCACACACCCACATTGGTTTCACCTTCTATTTGTATACCTTATCTCAGTGAATGATACCAAACTAGAAATTGGGTGTGATCCTTGACACCTTTTCTGGTTACCCCTAACAACCAATCTACCTCCCCCTTCTGCTGATCTTGCCTCCTTTGCATTTCTAGGTTGACCTTTTCCCCACCCCTACTACAGCTTCCACACCTTGACTAATATCACCACGCATTGTCTTTTGCCGAGATCACTGCACCCCAGCCTTCTGACTACTCTCCCTGGGTTTAGTCTAGTTCTTGCCATTCTGTTTTGCGTTGGTGAGCAGAATGATTTGTATGAAAGAATGATTGCTTCGATGTACTTTCCTTTCATTCATAGTAGTACTGAGAGAGGTCCAGGGAGATAGCTCAGTGGCAGAATAGTGGTGAGATTCCTTATCATATCATGTAATACTCTTCACAGTCTGACCCGTCTACCTCTCTAGCCCCCACCTCCAGCACTGCAGGCCCAGCCCTGAGGAACAGCTGGGATCCCAAGCCACACCATCTGCTCTCCAGCTTTTGAACTTTGGCCCAGCAATTGTCTCACAACTAACATCCCCATATTTTTTGTTTTCTTTTGTTTTCAGTACCAGGAATCAAGGTCAGGATCTTGCATTTGCCAAGCAGGTGCTGATGCCATTGAACCATCTACCCAGCACCTCCCTTCTTGATAAGTTCTTCCAGTCCCTGGGTTCTAGTTCAGCAGACTCCCCTGGGGGTGGTTTTCTTGCCCCCCTGGAACAACAGTAGCTCCCCTTCAGTGCTCCTGTAGGCCAGTTCATTTCCATGATGAAGTTACTTACAGTGCTGAATTCCACTGTAAAGAGCAAGCATAACTGGAACTTACTTGTCATTGTATTCTGTGTCAGAAACCCATTTTCAGAGCTAGAACTGTTGCTCATATACATACACATAAATTTAAGTAAGATCAGAAGAGAAATCAAAGTCATCTTGGGGTGAAGAGAGGCTCTTTCTTTTAGGAGAACAGAACAGCATGTGCTTAGTAGCTTAGAAAGTAGCTTATTTGCTTATATTTTACTTCCACTTTTCCTTCTGGTAAGTGGCAGGCTACAGGAATTCTTCAAGTAATGAGAGCTTTGGGGAGACTGAACAACTCTTGAAAGGAAGTCTAGGAAGAGGGGCTTTCAAAACTCTCAGGACGCTTTCCTGGCCACAGAAGTCTCTGCCCATCCTCTTTGCTCAGGCATGTGTCATCCTGGAAGATAACTGCCCTGGGGCTGCTCTCGGGATAGCCATCCTCTGCCCCTGCTCCTCTGTACCTCTCAGATTTGACCAGGAATGGTGTTAAATTAATTTCTGTCTCTGGGGCCTTTGTGCAGTGACTGACACTCAGTGGGAGGCTGCTGTACCCCTGGCAGGAGCTCTGGGGAAGATTGTGACACCATGTTAAAGATTCAGACAAGGTTGAGAGGGAGTGCTTTAAACTGCACAAAACTAAAATTAGGGTAGGCTACAATTGATAGCAGTTAAGAGTAATTGAGAAAGATCCCGACTTAATACCTAGAGACTAATTTATTTTAAAGCATGCTGTCTGAGGTCATGGACTTCTGTAGGTGAAAATAATAACTTGTTAAACTTTCCTAATTCAAACTTACTTCAACTACCAAATATTTCCTGAGCACCTTTTATAGGTCAGGCAGTGCGCTGAGGGTGGTGCTCAGTGAGGAAGACATTACTCCTGCCTGATCTCCTCCAGGAATGGCCAGAAAACACTCTTTGGGATTCTACATACCAAAGGATGACTACCATCAGCATGGGGACATTCCTGTGTGACACGGGAAGGCATCATGGGCCTGTGACAAGGCCAGCCCAGAAAGGGTGCAGTGTAGGAGGAGTCTCATTGCTTCTAGATGTGTGATGGAGGCCATGAGCCTGTCCTCATCACCCCCTCTGTGTGGTATGCAGAACACATTGCCCAGTCCGCCAGGACCTATGTACTCTTCCAGAAGTGAGAGCTGGTTCTCAAGTCTCTGTGCACCTGTTCATATTTGGCAAGTGCTTAGTTGAAGAGGCTCCCTGGTTGTGAGCTACACATTTTTACTTCAGTCAACTTGAATATACTTCCAGTGTTCTAGACACCCCTTCTCTTATTTGGAAATCTTTCTGTAACCTCAGAGATTCACTTCTACAACCACCCTTGCCTTTATCTCCATGTCTTGAACAATATAGAACCTTGTGTTAATTTTGCAAATGACCCTGTGACTTCATAAGAACTGTGAGGTGGGGTGAATGGGCAGCTTACTGTGGCTTTAGTCTTCAGCCTTCTTTTAGTACTGGGTGCCCTTTGAAAATGCTGGACAGTGGCTATTGCTGCTGCTTCTGTCATGAGTCACCCTCCCCACACTTCACTTGCAAGGGACTTAATTATGCCCGAGCCACTGCTTCTAGAGCCATTATTATTTATAAAATGCTTATGAAATTCTCAAGTTAACCACAGAAGCTTCTTAGAACAAAACACTGGGATCTTGCAATTTTTTTAAGATTCTCTCCCTCCTGCCCTCAGTCTCCACCACCCAGACTCCAGCGTCCCCGGAGTCCTGTTATAGTCCCTTCTCCAGTTTCTCCTTGCTCTTAGTAAGGCCTTATTTCTTTCTTTGAGGGTAACATGGACAGGCAGAGCTCGCAGGGAGGTAGGTGGCTTTAATCCTCAGGATTTCCCACAAACCTTATTGTCATTCTTGTAAACTTGACACATTAGCCAGGTAGCCCCTACCTGCCCTCTTGGCAATCCCTCCCTCTGACTCTTGGAGGTCCACTCTCCATAAGCCTAAGCTCAGCTGGAAATTTCCACCTTAGGTTGGCTCTCAGAGCCAAGCTTACTGACTACCATGCAAAGTATATTTTAAATAAATGTGTCCATTGGATTTAGCCCTCTGCTGGGTGATGGGGTAGCATGTACACTGGATGCTTTGAGGGCTGTGGCTGAGCATTCTCCCAAGGCATCTCTAGTGAAATGTAAGGGAGTCCCCTGGAGTCAGAGTGCCCACAAGCATGGACACCTCTGTGGAAAAGACCACGAGGCCCCTCAACCTCTCTCAACTCTGCATGCCAAAGAGCATGAGAGTTCATTCCTTTCCTTCTTAGTATCTCAAGAACCTCAGTGGCTATCACCCTGGGTCAGGGCCTTTATGTCTAGTATTTTGAATTCTTGGAAAGGTAGGTTAGTGCAGTACAGTGTTCTCAAAGTATGGTCCCTGGATCCGAATCTGCCGTAAGGCTGGTCCCTCTCTGAGAAGTTCAGGTTATCAGGTTCCACTGCAGGCCAAACAAATCAGAAGGCAGAGGGTGGGCCAATGACCCACACTGGCACAGTTTTCCTGAGGTGATGCCAACACAGGCTCCAGTGTAAACCCACTGGGTCAGTGGGTTAGAGCAGAGAGGCAGATGTCTCAGTCAAAATCCTGACTCCACCATTATATGGTCTAAGAAGGGACTTGGTCTCTCATTTTGGTCACTTAAAAAATGGGTACAATGAATCTTCTGCTGCCACTTTACACAGTTATGGAGGAAGAGAACTCCAATGTGTTAAAAACATGCTTGGTTCAGGTGCTCTTCATCGAAGGAAAGTGTTGCAATCCTATTATGTACAGGAGGAAACAGGCCAAGAGAGGCTAATGACTGGCTCGGTGCCTCAGATGTAATGTGTGAAGTCTCACCTGCTAGTGATACACCTCCTCCCTGTCCTGCTTCCTAGTCTATATTCATTCAAGGGTAGAGGAGAAGCAGTTTGGAACCTACCCCTGAGTAGGGTATTCGCAGAGTGCTGAGAGTTCAGTCATGCCTGTCTCATGGAGATCTATGTTCAGCCACTTGGCCTCAGTTCTATTATCCACTTATGCTTTCCCCTGTGCACTTGAGGACTCTCTCTTTTGTGAGACTATTTAGTAACACCGAGGTAACGGGCTTCATTTTCACCTTGAGCCTGTTTGTCCACAAGTGTGGAACGTGGGTTGCCATTGGTGGAAGTGTGGTAAGGATTTGGGGTTAAAGTGGCTGCTTGAGGAATTGGGTGACAAGTTAAAATTCATTATTGTGGAAAATTGAGACTGGATTAGCCAAATTGCCTGGACTTGCATGACACCTCATAGATTGAGGTCTTTGTGGTAATTAGTTAGTTGCACATGGAAACGGTAAGCAGTTAGTAAAGGAATGCCTTATCCTCTACCCAGCTGGCTAGACTTTCCAGCCACATGAAAATCTGCCTCAGAACTGTGCACATCTTCTCCTGTCCCTTGAGGCTCAAATACAAAGCAGTAGTTAAGATGAGCTGGCCTCGCTCAGAGCTGTACCCCTCGCCTATGGGCCTCTTTGAAGGAGCACACTGCTATCGTGAATTTGGGTATTGACTTCCAAAGAACTTCCCTTATCACAGTTGCCTAGGACTAGAAGAAAAGATCGATACTGCCTTAAGTAAGGCAGTAAAAAAGGTATTAGTGGAGCTGCTTGGGAACCAGAGTTCCTGTTATCGCCTCTGGCCTCCCCAGCTGCGTGTTCACAGACACACCATGAGCCATCCGTCTAAAAGCTACCTGAATATGCAATTCTCAAATGCACTGTGAACTGAAACCTGTGTGCTTTTGTATTACGAGTGACTGTTCCCACTTGCTTGCCATGACTTCTTACTTGGGGGTTTCATATTTATTCAGGTTCTCCTTTAGGCCGCACCAGTGTCAGTGAGTATATTATATTCTGCTTGTGAGGAGTCATGGGATCAGGGAAGTTTTCTCTGTCTTCTACATTACAGAGAAGAAAGATGGCTGTGAAGGATTCTCCTGTAATTTAGAGACAACCCAGTGGAGGGCACCCAGGGACACACACTCTGACACCATTCTACGTAAACCCAGACATGCTTCTGCTGTTTTTAATTAGACAGATAAAATTAGCAAGGAGAGTAAGGTAAAAGGAGAAATTAAAAATATTTAAGTGTTAGGTGGAATTTACAAAAGTGAATTGAACAATGAGGTACAATAAGGAATGTGAAGAGAAACACATACACAATCGAAACATTCCTTGGATGCCACACGGTTTAAGCCAGTCCACAGGCAGGGCAAGAACTCTTTCTTGCCTTCTCTTAAACTGCAGATTCCAGGGATGTGGAAGAACATTCTCCAGATACACTTTCCTTCTCCTTTTCTTCAGATGTCATCAAGAATAACTCATCAGTCAGTATCATTCTAGAATAGCCCACACTGCATCCAATTCAAACCACTCACCTGTTTCCTATCTGAATTTGCCAACTCTTGAGAGTTTTTTTTTCTTTTTTCCTTTCATGTTCATTTTTTCCCATCTCCTCATTTCCCATCAAGCCAAGAGGCCCCTGGGACAACCAGAAAGCCAAATCAACAACTTATTCTGGCCCCTTTGGATTTCCCAGGTGCATAGATTTCCCAGTTCTTTTTCCTTGTTTGCATCTGTTAGAACAAGCACAGTCATTTTATAACGCAGACATACATATGTGTGCCCTTGCACACGGAAACAGGTTTTTCTATTTTTTTTTCTCCAATTTTGTGGTATCTTTTTCCTTTTTGCAGAAAATGCAAACAAAAGAAAAACAAGGTTTTCAATTGAAGGTACATCTCTTCTTCAATATGAAGACATTAATTGAATTGGTTGGATCCCCATGCAGTGGTCAGCAAAGTCCTTTGGCAACTGACAGAACAACATCTGGAGACTCAGGAGCTGGGTTTTGTTTGCAGAAACTTCCCTACAGGAGTCATGAGCAAAGGGAAATGGATGTGGGGGAGCGAGGGACTCTCAGGGAGGAGTAAGAAAGGAGAAAAGAAAAGAACGTCATTGGCAAGGAAGCAAATGGAGCGGCCTCTGTGTCTTCCTTCCATCTCCTTCCCTTCTTCTGATAGTAACTCCAGCCCAGAGAGGGCGAGAGCTGCATTCAATCGTGTTTCCCCCACACACACTGTTTTGTCTCCACTACTGTTAAGATCACCTTTCTGTTTCTTAATTACTTCATGTTTGGTTTCCCACGGTATCCCAGACATGCTTCTGTCACTGAGAGATGAAGGGTGCCTGCAGCCAAACGACAGGTCCAGTTTACTCCTCATTGATGGAAACACCTTTCTCGCTGAAAAGCACGTCTCTCCAGCACACTCCACAGTGGTCAACCGCGAGGTCCCCCAGGAGCCGGGTCCTGTTCCTTCCTTTCCTCCCTCAAAAAGGCAAGAGTTCTCACGCCATGGCCGTTGGTGACTGACTCATCTGGACTCTCATCGAATGGATGCTGTTCAGGATCTTCTTCTGATGGCCTGCCAAGGTGACTCCTATTCTCAGGAGGTCTCTAGAAGGGAAACAATCACACAGGAAGTCATTCGAGGGTTAAGGCAACATTTCACAATTCCAAACTCCTCATCAAAGGCATCATGCTCTTGAAAATAGTAGGGTAGGCATGTAAAAGTGTTTAAAATCCAACTAGTTTAAGGTTACCCGCATTTTTGGCAAGCTTCCAATTGGATATTTTCTTGCTCAGTCTCGTATCCCCCATGCTTTGGTCCTTGTCTCTAACACCTCCTCCGGTTTGGGGAGCGTAGGAGGTCCCTCCCTTATGCTAGGGATATGTTTGTCGCCTATGGGTTTTGCCACCAGCCCTTCATTGTGTCCGGGACCCTCAAATGGACTGGAATTTTCCTCTGCTATGTCTTTTAACACTTCCAAGGCATACGCTATGGGGCTCCAGTTATTCTGTGGAAATTTCTGCCTAAATTAGTGGACACCCACTGAGACTGAAAAGATATGGGGCCTGCCTGGTCTTCAGATGTTTTCTCTTGAATTTCACATTTCTGTCTCTATTTGAATTTTCATTTCATGCATTTTTAAGGAGGCTGATCTCAAAATAACTAAAAATATCTGCTCAAGCAGGAACCCAAACAGTATGCCTAGGATGCAGTTTGTACTGGATTTGTCTTTGATCTGTATTAATATAAATAAGTTCAAGGCTTAAATTTGACCTTGGGAAGGCCCATGTATCTTTCCTTAATCAATAATATCAACATGTAACACTGCTTGAGTGTGTCCTATGTACCATATAGTATCTTATCTAAACTTATAAGGGAGCATTTTGTGAAAATTGACAAAGCACTATAAAATCACAAATAGCAATAATTCAGCAGCAGTCCTTTCTTGCATTTGTCCTATGGGCAGGTAATTGGCCATGTGCTTCCTAAGTGATATTCTTTCTCTCTCCCACACAGTGAGATGGGCATTACTACTGTATGCATGGTTAGAGACAAGGTAAGTAGTGTTAAGAGAAGTTAAGTGATGTGCTCAAGATCACATGGCAGGTTAGTAATGAAGGAGGTGGGATTCACATATAGGACAGCCAACCTTTCAGTGCCTGAGCAGGGTTTCGCTCAGAACTCTTCAAGTTCTGACTCTGTTTCCCCAAAGCCCTCCAACACCAGTCTGACAGATCTCTTGACAAACTGCATGTCCTGTTGAACACTGGGCTGGCTCTCTGTCCACAGTCCTTCCCCAGCCACTGCCCCCTTTTCAGCTGGTAGTCGGGCATCCAGGGGCTACAGTTGGTTGAGATAGTCCAATTGCCATGTCTTTTTAGGAAACACTTTTGAGAAGCACATTTGAATTCTGAATTTGCAAATTACTCCACAATTTATTTTATGGAGTCACTCATTTTCTTTTTCCATGTTTTATCCCTCAAGAAACAAGCCATTGTTGAATTCCTATTATTTTGTTTAGTGATATTCTGTGTCATCTCTAATGTTTTCTTTTTTACTATTTTTTATTCTGCTAAAAAAAAAAAAAGAAGAAGAAGAAGCAGTCTGGGGAGATAGCTCAGCAGTATAAGCCTCTGCCTGGCAGATACAAGGTCCTGAGTTTAATCCCCAGTACTACATGCTGTACCGGCCCTGGAACCAGGTGTGGTGGCGCACACCTGTAATCCCAGCACTGGGGAGGCTGAGACAGCAGGATCACTATGAGTCTGAACTGCGTAGTGAGACCCTGTATTTAAAAAAAGAAAGAAAGAAGACAGAAAGAAAGAAAGAAAGAAAGAAAGAAAGAAAGAAAGAAAGAAAGAAAGAAAGAAAGAAAGAAAGAAAGAAAGAAAGAAAAGAAAAAAGAAAAGGGAAACAAAACAAATTGCTCCAACAGTGTAGGTACATGTTGAACTTTGAACTGCATCCCTTCACTTTCAGTCTCACTTTCCCTTCAGTCATCTCCTTGTCTATGTCCATGTGACTGTCCCCAATGGAGGGGATCCCTTCCCTGATCCCCTCAGGCTGTGGGGCACACATGGCAGCAGCCCCTACCCATTGTAATGGCAGACTACAGTGAGAAAGCAGGAGCTGCCCACCTGCACGGATGCCATGTCTGCCTACACTCAGGCCCCTCACTGTCTAGGACACTCATGTTACCTTAAAGCGGGGGATGCTGGCTTTCCCCTCCTGAGGCACTTCTTTTCATTTTCTGCTGTTTGTTTGGCAATTACTCAAAATGCCAGGAACTGTCCTTTTTTAGGAATCAGGAAATGAATCTTTTGAAAAGAGATTCTGATGTTTAGTGGATTCAAGGCTAGATATATATTTAAACCATCTCCCTGGAAAAATGTGGAGTCACAATCACTTCTGAGAGAAACAAATGCCCAGGAGCTGGACTCTGGGCTGACTGATTCCAAGTAGTCAGAGCATTCGGAAGCTCTTTCTGGGGCTCCAGTGTTAGGGGTGGCTCACTCCATCTCCCTGTCCCGGATGCAGCAGTTGCCCTGACCAGGAGAGAATCCCAGAACCTAGCACTGTGCCTGACACATAACGGGAGATCAATTAGTGTCTTCCAACTGACTAACTGATGGATCCTTTCCCAGTTATAGGTCACCAGATTTTACTCTGGAGCCTTCAGTGCACATTGTAGACCAGGCAGCCTATGAGATCCCTTGAGGTATGTGTGCATGTGTGCATGTGTGTGTGTGTGTGTGTGTGTGTGTGTGTGTGCATGAGCACGTGCTCACGCGCACATGCATGTGTTGGGGAAGGAGTTGGTTGGTTTCTTGGTAAGTGTTATCTGAACTTCTACATGTGCAGAGGGTGACGGTTGACCTTTGCTAACTTTCATCCAGTGATTTGCCTACTTTTCTGTGGAGTGGAATCACCTGGGGACCTTTAAAACTCCTGATGCTGGGGTCTCAGTAGACACCAATTAGTCGGAAGCCTGGGAGTGGGAACCAGGCGTCAGTAATTTTTCAATATCTCCAGGTGACTCCAGTGTGCAGAAAAGTAGGGGGACCACTGCAGCCCCGTCCGTGATGGGGGGAGAATGATTTTCTGGTGATGGCAGCCAAGAAGAAGGATTAAGCCCTGGCCTTGCCATGCGTTAGCACTGATGTCATCTCAGAGTCTGATGGACAGAAGCGGAACTAGACAAATATTTCCCAAACTGCAGTTCCATAAGAACCTGCCCCTCAAAAATACTGTTCCAAGGTATTTAATAACTTTAAATAGGTTTCCTTATTTCAGGATTTCTCATGGCCTTGATAGTGCAAATATCAGCAGTGGATCTCTAAGAGGATGATAAAGTATGAAATATTTCCCAAATTTATTTGACTGTGGGACCTTTTTTTTCCCCCCAAGGAGAACTTACTAGCATTTCCCACAAGTGGCTGTACTCGGAACATTCTTGGGAAATGATGGGCCACACGGATCTTTAAGACCCTTTCTGGCTCTTGTCTTATTTGAATAATTTTATTTCGTGTATTTCTCCAAACTCCTACGGGAGCAGCAGACTGGTAAATAATTTGTGGGGGATGGAGATGTATGCTTATTTACAAGCACTGTCAGAGATGGAGGACGAGCCCCCGCACAGCCGCTTGTTGCTGAACCAGTGCAATGCCTTTTCTGCTCCACTGTTTAAAGTGCTGTCTGGCTGTGTTCTTTCCATCTGGGTGCTCTCTTTGATGGCTTGAGTTTATAAACTTAAATGGAGGAGAGACTCGGTGATTAGGCAAATGACATATGGCTATGACTTTGAAGATTTCTCATTTGGGACCCGGAATAGATCTCCCCCTCCCTTTCCAGCCCCTGACCACCTTCCCCTCCACCTTCCAAAGCACTGCCCTCATGTCTGCTCTGTACAGGGAAGGAGTGGCCGAGACGAGACTGGAAATTGGATTCAAATCATCTGCAGTAGCAGGGGAAGGGCCACCTGTGGGCTTGACAGAAGGGTTGTTCATCACTTACTCTGATGTCATCTGAGTGACAAGCTGAAGCGAGGTGAAGCCAGCAGTGAGGAAGCTGTCCCTGTACTGGACCATTTTGATGGCACTGAGCCACTCATCCACGGTAGTAAATGCTGTGAAATCTGGGATGGAGCGGTCGAGGAGGGGCTGGGAAGGCCTGGTGAAACAGAGGAGCAGGTGATGCTACAGCAGAAGAGATGTGTGCACAGAGGTGCACTGCAGCATGAAGGCCGATGGTGGACCATGTGGGCAGAGCAGCTGACCCCCAAGACGTGGAGCCTGCGCAGATCCACCCCTCCTTACAGAACTCTATCTCACTGCCATCAAGAGCCCAGTCCCCTTGTTTCCAGGTACTATTGGAGGTCAGTCAACACAGGCAGGCAGATTGGCACAGCATTCAGTTGAAGAGAAGGACATCATTTAATTTCTTTATCAACTGAAATCTAGGATCCTAGCCATCTAAAGATCCAGATCTTTAAAAAATTATGTCCAGTTCACCACAACCTCTCTAAATCTACTGGTAATATTTTTTTTCCTTCCTGGCATTATCCTTGGTTACTTGAAGGAAATGGAGGACAGAAGCCCACCACTGACTTCTTAAGGCAGCCATCTAGGTATCCAAAGCTGGAAACCAGGTTGTTGTCTTGACATCCCTCTAGCCTTCCCTCCAGTCCTTCACTAAGTCATATCAATTTTTACCTCCCCAACCTCTCCAAGTTATCTACTTCTTTGCAAAGCCAATACCCTGACTTAAGACATGCTACCTTCCATAACATGACTCTTGAAGTGTTCCCCTATATAAGGTCCCCTTTGCAGCCACATGATTTTTTCAAAATGCAGATTTTTTTCAAAATGCATGCTAAAAACTCTCAGACGTTCAAGAAACACCTTAGAACACTTAATAGGTTCCCACTGCTCTGAAGATCATGCCAAAATTCTTACCATGGCCTAAAGGCTCTGAGCAGTCTTGCCCTTGCTCGCCTGGCCACCCTCAGCCCCAGTAAGCTCTCCTCCAAGTGCACTCAGCACCTGGCCTGGACTTGCTCACCCAAGGACTTCTGTACATGCTGTACCATGTCTCTCTACCCTCGTCCTCTTCCTATCCACCTAATGCATCCTGCCCTTCAGCCCTGAGCCAAGATGACACTCATCAGAAAAACCTCTTTGCAGCAGCTAAAGGTACAAGCTTTCAGTGACCCGCGCACCACTCCTGCCACAACAGCTATTAAGGCTTTATTTTTGCATTTCTTTTCATGATCAGCTGATTAATGTTTGCGGCCTTTAAATTATTTTAAACTCCTTGAGAGTAAGAAGTATCTTTGTGTTACTCATTCTATAGCACTAGCATTAGGTGGAGTGTTTGGTCTATCACCATGTAACAAATTTTGGTTGGAAAGATGAATGAATAAGTGGGATAACAGTACAAATGCAGCTAAATAGTGCAGAGCTGGAAGAAGCTGATGGCAGTTCTGTGCGCTCACTCACAACCCTCAGCAGCTTTGTATTTCTTTGTCAATGACAGCCTTTCCCTGCCAATATATTGTTGGTGGAAGTTCCAAGATGCAGCTCTCCCTGCCCAGAGGACTTGTGTGTTTAATGGGAAGATGGCCTTGGCAAGCAGGATCCTTTAGAAGTAGGGAATCATAGCAATCAGGTCAGATACAGCTCAGCTACTCTACTGAACAGCCTAGTGCTCAGTCCTGGAGAAGGCTGCAGCATGGAATATTCTAAAGACAGAAGGGAAGAGTCTTGGAACTCCACATGAGTGGTGGTATGGTTTGTGTCTGGTGGTCCCCCCAAAGCCTCATGCAGTCATGGGTGGACTTGCAGAGTCTGTGACTAGCTCTTGATCTACTGGGATTATGGGTGTGAGCGCTGCTGGGATTCCGGGTGTGGGTACTGCACCCAGGCTGGGCTGGAGAGCCTGAATGCAACGTAAAGGACACAGCCTTGCTCTCTGTAGCCGTTGTGGCTGCTGCTACTCCTCACTTTTGTTCTTGCTGTTTTCTGCCACCACGAACGACTGCCCTCTGCCATGTGCCAGTCTGCCTTGGAGTCAGCTGAGTATGAAATGAAACCTCCACTGTGAGCTAAATAAAACTTCCTTTCTTTAATTTTGGGTGTCAGGTATTTTGTCCCAGTGAGAGAAAAGTAACTAAGACTAGCGGATAAGCTCTGCCTTGTCATCTCAAGAGAACAAAAGGCTATCCCCTGTGTCCCCACCCAGAAGACCACCACATCTAGGAGTCACCTGGTCCCACTAGACTCACACGGCGGTGATGGTTGCCACAGTCTTGAGACTTGCCGGGTTCCGGATCATCTTGTCCAGGGTGTTGACTATCTCTGCAAAGCGGGGCCGGCTATTCCGGTCCTTCTGCCAACAGTCCAGCATGAGCTGATGGAGAGCAGCCGGGCAGTCCATGGGAGGGGGCAGCCGATAGTCCTGCTCGATGGCGTTGATGACCTGCAGTGGTGCACAGGGCACAGGTGTGACTGGAGGGTGAGCCACCAGCTAGCCATTCACAAATTAGCCTCCCGGACTAGGCTAGCTCAAGAATACTGGCCTGTGACCAGACCGCTCCCATCCTAAGGGTCTCTCTGTATCCCCCACCTGGGCTGTGGTACAAAGCAAGGACCACATCTGATGGTGCCTTGGTGTTCTGGCCTCACTAACCAGTGCAGCTCTGATGCACATGAGATCTTTGAAAATTCTCATTGAAGGATGGTGAGGAACTTCTTCTTTGTCTCCTCTCCATTAGAAGACAAAGGGCCCATTTCTGCTTTACTGGTTCTCAAGTGGAAAAAGTATAACACATAGGAAAGCCAGTGAAGTCAGTTACAAAGGACATGCCCAAACCCTGCAGTGATTTTATTCCCTGTTTCCTAAGGGAGGAGGAAAGGAGGAGGAGGACTCCCTAGGTCCTTCTCTGTATTATTTACTTTCATTTTCACAAAGCAATAATAACTGAGGCTGGAGGGCAAAGATCACTAGGCTACACATTTGGTTAAGTAAAGTGAAAACAGTCAAAATGCCATGGTGGTCAAACAGAATAAGTATCTCCAATCAAGTTTTAGTAAATTTCAAGATCTCCCGGGGATAATTTTATAAGCATTTTGAGATCTTTCAGTACCTTGCTTTTCAGATGTTTACATTTTTCACTCTGTATTTCTTAATTCCTAATTCATTTAAATCAATTGTGCCTGCTCTGTGCTTTTTGTAATAGCAAAAATAATTCTAAGTGGCCCAAGCGCTAAACATACTTTATTATGGTACACTCCCGAGGCTTGGGAAAGCAAGCCCGGAAAAGCGTAACGCCGGCTTTAAAGCGATGTTACGGAAATGTGTCTATTGAAATGGAAATAAGCTCACATTGTAATATTAGGCAAAAAAAACAGGCTGCACAACTGCAGGTATAGTATAATCATGATTTATAAAAGACAGAAATCAAAACAAAACAAAATCCAACAATTATACACATGCATAGGAAAGACCTTGGAGACTCCATATACCATGGAGTTAAGGGTGGTTGCCTCCAGGCAGGTAGAAATATGAATGTGCTTTGGTTTTTCTTTTCATTTATTTGTATTTTTTATCGTCTGTAATAATCACGCATTGATTTTATATTTAAAGTACCTTAAACAACAGAGAAAACGATTTGGAGTTCAAAGATTTTTCTGGGGTTTTTTTTACAATATTTAAAAAAAATTAAATGTATCAGAGCTGGTTACCATTTTAACATTAAAAACTGTTGAAAATGTATTTCTATCAGTTTATATTTTTGCGATTTCTAAGCGCAGCGTATGTGACATAAAATGGGCATGAGTGACACAAGCCGAAGTTATTAGAGATAATCAAGGTGTATATTTTTCATTCAGTATGGTGAAAGATAAGCATAAAACCATAACAATATTGTCGCTATCGAAAAAGACCAGTAACTGGGAACATTCACTTTTGAACAATGAGTCTCACTGACAAATTTTTACCTCCTCCCAAACTGCTGTCAATCAAACCCCCTGCTGTCCTCTTAGGAGAGCGTTTTAACTCCATGCTCCCCTTGAGGAAAATGGAGGCATAAGCAGTGAGATAATTTGCCCAGAGGTAGACTGCTGGCAAGTGATGGGGCAGAGAACAAAGCTCAGGTTCCTGGTTTTAATTTTTGTCAGTTTTAAGCACCTGGAAGGCCACTCCTCTGAGGTTCTGTGGTGGCGCTCAGAGCCCAGGAACTCAGCCCCTGGAGCTGTTTGATGTCTCCATGACATGACGTGGAGCTAAGCTCATCCACGAGCATGAGCAGCCGGCACCACTCCCAGAAGCCTGGGTCATCAGTCTGCCCCTTCCCCTGCTCCCTGTGGGCAGCCAGCCCAGGGGGGCCCAGAGAAGACAAGTGCATGACCCAGCAAGGGGCCCAGCTCTTTCTGGGTTACCGAAGTGCCAGCCCTGCTGAAAACTGCGAAGCAACTGGAGGCATAGGTCCTGGAAGCCAGGGTTCAAATCCTAGCTCCATTTCTCATTAACTACAGCATGTTAGGAGAGGCGCTTGACTTCCTGAAACTGCACAGTTGGGTTATTAAAAAGATCCGAATGGCACATTGAGGTAGGTGGTGTCAGCTGATCACTGCACAAGTGAGTGTGGGAAAGAGTCCTCATCCCACCGAGGGTGATATTGCTGCCATGCGTCCTACGGTGCACATTTTCTTGGCAGACGGCAGGCTACTACTAGTCATTTTGGAGGTCTAGGAAATAGCACCTGAAAATCACCAAGCATTGGTAAATTCGGCATCCCATTTCTCAGCTTTCTGGGTAGAAGATAGCCATAGGAACTCCTTCCCATGCTTGAGTTTCTGAAGTGCGGGTTCACTCCATTTGCTAGATAATGCTGAGTACCTGAGCTCATTGTCTGTGATCCCTGATGCTCTTGCACATAGAAGAGTCTTTACCCATAATGCAAAGAAAAAGTTACCTAGGTCATTAACTGTACACAGGTAGCACTTATCCCTTTCTCTTTGAAGTGCTATAACCCTGAAAAACTTTTAAGGATCTGGATGTTTTGTATTTAGTATGTGTCTCTTATGACCAAATTAAAACATCCTTACATTAATTTTTTTTTTATTTTGGTTCTCTGGTAGGATTTTGAGGTCATTCTTTCTCATACCTCTCTTGTGAACAAGCATGCGGAACAGGGAGAAGATCTGCAGAAATGCCTTCAGTCTGGCCACCTGATAGCCTAGACTCCAGTGACTGAAGTGTATAGAAAGATATGGCTTTGGGTTTGGTGTGTAAGCTGTTCTGCTCAGAAGAGGTGAGAGCTGGAGGGACGTTTATGCCCCTTCCTTGGTCCCTAGCAGGATGGGCTACATGGAGGTTGAGAATTAGAGACGGGCCAGGTGGCATCCTCAGAGAAAAGAGAGTGAAGGTATATGTGTGTAAGAGGAGGTGGAAGTAGGGACCCAGGGAATTATTGCAGGTACCTTGCTGTCTCACGTGGAATGGTCTACAGTAACACTTCTGGCCACCTAAAACACTTAAGTAAGCACACACCCCAGGGCTAGTGGAAGAGGCTGGAGTGGCAAGGGAGGGGAAGAAAGTGTGTCTTTGTTCACTGGAACCCAGCAGGAGAAGGTGTGGGGTGGGTTAAGGACCAGGAGGAGGTGACTCATCACACCTGGGAAATGGCAGAGCCCCTCCCTTCACCCCCATGTCCTCAAGGGGCTCCTGGCTACCCTGGATCCTGTGTCTCCCACCCGTGAGTTGGGTGGCAGGTGGTGCCTACTCGACCTTGCAGTGGGGCGAGTGAAGTGGAGGAGCTCAGAGTAGTGGAGGAACCAGGGCAGAGTGGGTTAAGCTGAGCTCTGATGTTTCAATGATACCGCAGCTTCTCTCCACAGACACCGCCACTCTCATTATCTCTGTCAATCAGATCCAAGCAGCAGAACTTCCAAGTAGCTCTCTCTGGCTGACAGACTCTCTGTACATGTTCAAAGACCTTCCTGGGCTCCAGAAGCCCAATTACCAGCACTCCGACTTGCCTCTGCAATTCTCTTCCTTAAAGCCTTTCAATTGTCATCTGTAAAATCCTTTACTGCCACTGCCTCCACGGTTTCTGATGAGGGAGGCCACAGCCCAGTGGCTGGGAGCTCCCAGGCTCTCTCCCGGGCCAGGTTGTATCAACTTTCTGAATGGGCATGAAGTAGCCTCCTGTCTGGCATAGGGAGCAGAATGGCACTTGGGACAGTGCTTTAAGGGCTTTATTTTTGAGAAATACAACATAATTAGAATAAACTGCAACTTTACAGATATTCTTACTCACTCTGAGACCCAGCTCAAGTGTCAAATATCCAGGAAGCTTGCTTACCCTACCTGCATGTTTCCAAAGGCCTATACATTTACCACTGGGGCTGTGAACCTGTCAAGGTCAGAACCAGCAAACACAATATGTAGTCACAATTAGCTCACAGTGCCTGTGAGTTAAATGAATGACTTGGGAATTCTGAAAATTTAATACCAAAATTCTATTTGTTTTCAGCATCGGTGAGTGCAATTACTTAGACTATCCTGAATATCAAATCTTGCCTGTCAGTTCTCTAACCCAGTCTATGTGGGTTGAATTGTTCTCAATAAAATGAAGGCCTCTGGGAGCAAGAAGATGGGCCTGCTTTGTCTGGCTAACATTTCTTACTCATCTAGCGGAGTATGCAGCTGATTTCATGAAAGCATGCTCCACATCAACTCTGCCACTTACTGATTGGACACGCTGTAGGAGCAGAGGAGAAGTGTGGATAATCGCAGATAATAGAGGACCTAGATGCTACCCACCGTTGACATCAGGATGGTTGTGGTGCAGCCATCTTTCCACTGGAGGCTGGAGCACACTGCCCGTGCCAGTCGTGATTGCTGTCCCAGGAGCACTTGCTCCTTTCCACACAGTCTCACTGAGAAATGGCTGCCATTCTCAGTCTTTGGAGCAAATGCCGTGACTCTAATCCCCTGACTGGACAGCAGGCTGCTGAGGACAAGTTCCCCAAGTTGATGAGTGCCTCGAGCCCATCCAGACAGGAAGGTGTTTAAAGAGCAACAGAAACCAGATCTTTACTGGGGAGAGTCCTATGGCTTCTAGTCTGTGAGCTGGGAACTGCCCCTCACCCCATGGTGAAGAGCAAGACAAGAATATAGGTACTTATATTTTGCACATAGTCACCTTCTCTCCAAAGAGAGGGTATGTATTCAAAGCATGGAATTGGACTGGGCCTTGCAGAGCTGCTGGGGTCAAAGGTAGTGTTTTGAAATCTAGGTAGGACTTTTGATTGGAACCTTGTCAAAGCAAAAAAAAAAAAAAAAACTCTTCACATTTTAGTAATGATGGAACAAAGATTCTCATTTGGAGTACCAAAATGCCCTTTCCTGTGATATCCCTTCTCCTTCCTTTCCCACTTGTGTCCCTTGCAGGTACCCTGGAGGAATGTTCTGCCCTCCCACAGACAGGATGTGCCTCTGGGGCCCATCAGACTCTGCCCTCTTTGGAATGTATTCTCCGCTCATCCTTCACTGACAATGACACGGGTTTACAGGGGCACAGGTTCTCAGAGAAGGCCCTTTGTAGTTCCTCTCTGTAAAGCTGAAGGCGCAAGTCCCAAACATACAACCAGTGAAAAACAGTAGAACTGTCACAGAGGAGTAAGACAGGAACCCAGGCCCTAGCCCTCAGACCAGTATTCCTTCATCTCCATCCGCATCATGCAGGTGGAAGGAAAACACAGGACCTGGGCCCTGTGACACAGAGAACACTCTCCTGCTTAGTTTGGACTTGATCTGTTCATGGCTCATGGCTTTTTGGAACCAGCTGAGGTTTCTCTGGCTGGCATCTGTGGCCCATGCACATTTATAGGCTTTGTGGCATTGGGACTGTCGCTATCCATGCTAGGCTTAGTGGCTAGTTCCAAACACTGAAGCCAAGGATGTCTCCATACATCCTGCCCTCAAGCTCTGGTTGGTGTCCACTGCATGTGGGGTCTCTTAGATGGGTGTTCTGGCAACCAGGAGTTCTGACACTTACATCTTGGTTGGACATATCCCAGTAAGGTCTCTCTCCAAATGACATGACTTCCCACATGACAATCCCGTAGCTCCAGACATCGCTGGCTGAAGTGAACTTGCGGTAGGCGATTGCTTCTGGCGCTGTCCACCTCACAGGAATCTTCCCTCCCTGCAAGAAGGAGAAACCCGGTCAGTTCAGTCATCAGACTTCAGCTGATGACACAGATGAGACAAGTGTGTCTCTCTACTCCACCGCCTCAACGCCACATCTTGTGAATTTCATTGGTCAGGATAGTGCTGCCTTTGTCAGATACAAAAGTTACATTTTCTGTTATATAGGTCTTGCTTTATTTTGATCTTAACCATCCAGCAGAAAAGTATAAACACAAGGTATAAGAACTAAAGCCATATTAATATGCTGAGCTGTAAAAGGCTCAAGTCAACAACTTCTGACACTGCTAGTTCTGCAGATAACCCACTACTATTATGGGCTACTGGACTATATTGGGTTATTTTGCTGAATTCACACACCTACAATACTTGAATAGCAATGGAATACCCATCTCTGACAAAATTAAACAAAAAAGGGGGATATAAATGAAGGACCATCTTGTAGTGAAATATATATATATATATATATATATATATATATATATATATACACAAAATAGGATAGATATATAGCTACTTTCTCTTAGTTCAATAAGAAGAAAGATTTGTACTAATAGTGTTTAGATAAGATACCATGTCTGCATCTTGTACTATGAATAACTACTATGAAAACAATAATATGCAATGTGTTAATTATTATAACTGTCCTACTAACCTGTTCTCATTGCTATTTCTTTCTCAATAAAATTAGTTAAAAATTGAAAAGAAAAGGATAGTGCTTGCCTCACAGGTGGGCAATCTTGCTGTGCCTACTTAGAGGAGTTGAACAGGCTTGGTGTGGCTATGCTGGTCTTAGGCCACATGTGAGCACACCAAATGCAAGTGGATGGCGCATACCAAGTCTCCCCCTCCCAACCCCAATTTTCGACCTACTGATTCTAACACCGCTGTCATTGAAGCCCATTTCTGTTGTGTTGCATCTCTGAGATGAAGCCTACCTAACTGTGCATCCTGTAGACAGCCCTCAGCTGAATGGGGCTTTGATGGACTTTGGGCTGGGACCTGTCCACATGCTCATTGTGCCCCCTGCCCTTCAGTGGAGGACCGGGGAGGCTGAAGCTCTGTGTTCCTAAAGGGATATCTTTGGTTTGTTTCTCCTTGTTCTTACCCTGCTGTCCCACTCAGAGTCTCTAATCTGTTTCTCTGTGTGGCCTTTAGCTTGACTGTGAGACCATCGAGTAGTCAGGGGTTGTGTACCTGAAGAGCTGATGTACACCCTTCATTCATTCAGCCCACCAACCAGTAAGCTGCAAAAGCTATTTTGTGCCAGGCCCTATCTGAGGAGGAGCTGGAGTCCCAGAGATGAATCACCAGGCCTCCAGCTACAGAGGATGGTGGAAACAGATGGGAAAAAGAGACTTAAAATGTAGTTACAATAATTTCCAAGGAAAGGGGAAGGATGTGGCTGGGCCCAGGGGTTGCGGAGACTGGAGTGGACTTCCAATCACAGGCAGAATGAGAGGAGGTGTGTGCTGTGGTGGTCAAGCATTGCCAGAGCCTTAGGCTGGGTGTGGACATTGGTGCTTCCCTCTCCTACCTGGGTAAGCACGTAATGTTGCCTAACTCAACCTGTGCCTGTTTCTCACCAGCATCTGGTCACTTGGTACTCTGGAGGGGTAAGTGGTTGTATCTGTTAGGAACAGGGCACAGCAAAGGCGGTGTTAACTATTGCTTGCTCAGCCCTAAAGGACAAAGAGAAGTTCACCAAGCAAAGTGAGAAAAGGAATTCCAGGCAGAGAGCAGTGGTTGCCAAGGCTAAAGCAGAGATGCTGAGAACTTTCAGCAGCCTGGATAGGCTGAGGCAGGGGATGGCCAAGGGGAAAGGAAGAGGAGGTGCAGGTGAGACTGATGGGGGCCCTGTGAGTGCATCCCACACCGGTGCTGCTTCTAGGTGTCAGAGCAGGCCCTTGCCAAGGCCCCCTCCACGCACATCACTCTTGACAGCAAACACACTCCTTGTGTTCAGTTCTTCACGCCAAATACCAGGATTTCACCGCAGTGGCCCTTTCTCTAGGCCTTCATCCTGTATCAGTCCATAATCCAAGATACACCGAATAGAGGCTGCACTGAGTGGGGACAGCAGTGCCTCCCTCCTCTCCTCGCTGGCCTTATGCCTCAGCCCAAGGAAGCTATTTTGGTATTGACCATTCTTGCAATCTGTTCAAATCACTAAATATACATAGTGGACTTTAGCAAAGCTACCGTAAAATGTATAAACAGTTAATGTGAAGGAAAAAAAAAGAGCAAATTCCAGAGTGTATTTTTATCTGGGTTCCTATCCAGGGTCTGGGAGGAATAAAGGCAACCTGGCCCAAACCTCCCCCAGGCACACATCCAACTTTCTGCACAGAAGGCAGTCCTGATTTCCCCTGAGGATGCTGGTGAGCTTTCGTGGTGGGGGCGTCCTCAGCACAAATGCCAGCAACATGACAAATGCCTGGAGGGCAGGCTTGTGCTGCGCAGCTCAGGATGCTCCGTCCTCAGGAGCCCCCAGAACAGCAACGAATGCACTGCTTTGTTGACAAGGTAGCCATGACCAGGAAGAGCGGTGGGAAATTTACCCAGCGAATCAGGAGACCCTCAGGTCAGTGCCTGATGGCAGCTCAGGGACCTCCGCTGAAGCTGAATGCAGCTATTAGAGGAAGGTTGTTGCTGCTCCTTGAGATGGCCTGGGCCCCTTCATATCAGGAGAGGGGCTTTTACTTACTTACCAGGCTTAAGGGTTGGCCAAATAGCTCATCTAATTAAAACTCCTGTAAGCAGGGGTTCAATCAAGGCCTGCAATTGAGACTGGTCGTGGTGGTACACACACCTATAATCCTAGCTCGTGGGAGGCTGTAAGCAGGCAGATCACTACTAGTCCTACCTTGTAGTGAGACCCTGAACATCCTGTAGACCCTTTGAGTGAAAAGGAATTCAGTTAGTATTCTCTCTGTCTCTCTGTCTCTTCTTCTGCCCCATCCTGGCAGGTGTGCAAAAAAGAATGAAATTTTGTGTAAGAACATGTGAGTGTGTGTGTGTGTGTGTGTGTGTGTGTGTGTATGTGCAAGACTGAGACAGATAAAACTTGGCAGCATAGGACTGTGAGTAATGCAGAGTTAGTTTTATGTTTTGTGTATATTTGTGTGTGAGGAGGGGATGGGAGATACAAGTCTAGTTCTTTGGAATTTCAAAGAGACGACTTGGGAATCTGCAAGTGTTCTCCTCTGCCAAGTCTGCAGCAGACCCCAGGGGCTGTCAGTGACAGCTGTTGAGCTGCTCCCTCTTGCATATAAAGTGGCAGTGCCAAGCCCAATGGCGAGGAGCCATGAGCCCTCCTGCCACCTTGGGCTGTTGGGCCTCACTGAACACAGAGCCTGGCCTGTCACCACCACTCCCTCCATCCCTGCAGGTGGCCAGGCATCCAAGAATAGCCACCCAGGAAAGGCAGGTGACAGCTTGTCTGAGCAGCTCTCCTACTCAGCTGAGGAGCAGGGGACACTGACCTCTGAGACAAAAGGAAAGGTGATGCAAAGGCAGGGGAACATGACAGTAGGTGCTTTCCTTCCTCGGGATTTAAAAATTCTCCTTCTGTCTTTTCAAACATTCTCTCAGCAGCATCACCTTCTGATGCTCAGGGGGTGATTAAGGTGATGATGGTGATTATTTAACTTGTCTTCAGTTATGTGATGGGAACTCTACTCATTTAGAGGGTGATGACCAGCCTTCTGGAGGGGATGGAAGTAAAGAGCAGGCCAGTGTTGCAGCAGGCAGTCAGCCAGGAAGTCCTGCTCCCCAGAGAAATCCGGACCAGAAGCCAAGGTCTGTATGTCCACATCAAGTGATGTAAGTGTCTCTTCTCCAAAGGGCCACGGAGGAGGAGCATGCCCTTTGGGTGACAATGCTTTATGTTCTCATAAGGATGGAATTCTTAGGTAGTGAAGAAGAGATAGGGCTTGCTGGGGAAGGGTTTGCATCCAAGCAGGCACAGAGGGCTGATGAGGGAGTAGTCCTGGCATGGGTTTGCCAAAGTACCTGCCCGCTCACTTCCCCAGGGAATGCTGAGGCACAGGTCTGATTTCTGCAGAGAATAGGTTTCCCTAGAGCTGCCAAAGAGGTTAATGTTGGGGCTTCGGAGAAAGAAAATAAGAGAAGGGACACTCTCAGCAGGACTCTGAGAACCCAGCAAGATTTTATTACTGACCCTCTACATACAGCTTTGAGTTGAATGGTTGGGCTACCAAGAAAAGTCTTCAAATTTGTGTAAACCCAGTTCTCATGACAAATGTGTGAGCGTGTCTCTCTGTGTGTAGAATTTTATGAACCAAAGAAGACACCTGGCAATGGATTACTCCTAATTCAGCCATCTTCACGTTTTATGCCAATGTGAGGCATGATGCAAATGGGCAGTAGGTGTCAGGTGTCAGACTTTGGCCCTTAGTCTCAGCCAACATGCAGCAAACTTTCGATACCCCACGCTCTGCTAGTGACACAATACTACTCAGACTCAGCTCTACTCTGAAGTGGTAGTGGATCTCACTAATGCCACGTAGCTAGCTCACTGTTCTGCCACAGTAAAATTAGAAAGGTATAACACATAATTTTGGTTCTATAGCCCACTCAACTGTGCAGTCTTTTGGGCCAAGGTCCTGGTACAGAACTGACTTTCTGTTCTCATTACTTATCCTAGAGAAGCCCACTGGGCAGCACTTCTGTGTGTCTGAGTGCTGCTACAGTTCTTTTCTCCAGTACCTGTGTAAAACAAAGTCATGGGGGGGACTATGGTAGGAGTCTAGGCACTCAGTGTATTGTGTGTGGTGATCATATACAAATACTAGAGTTCTGGTGCATGAATTACATGAAGCTAGGAAGGGACAGATTGATAACCTAAGAGCATGCTCTGAATTTTACAAGCCCACTATTCCAAAATGTTTGCAATATGTAAAGCGTATTGGAGTTGTGAAAATCCAACAGGATAGATACACAAAACACACAATGTATTTCCATGAGAACAAATTT